AGAAAAACTAAAATTAAGGAAAATAGTTGTTAATAATAAGTTTATAATTTTACTAGTTCTCTTAAATTTAATTATGTAATATAATAATTTTTTTACGCATCAGCACCATTGCCAATTTGTGAGCTCTGTGGTTATCTCACAACTCCTATTTAAAGCTATCTTGCTGCAGCGCAATCACCCCCTATAAATTAACTTGTACTTGTCAAATTGACGATAAGTTAACATTAACAGAGCGTTTTTTTAAAAATTAATTTGTGAACTAACTACTGGAACAAAAAATTGCAAACGGTGCCGTTGAAAAGTTCAAAAAAAGCTCATGATTATTAACCGATTTACATTTTTTTTTAATTTCCTTATTGGCGCTTTTTTTCTTAAATAATTATTTAGACCAACTGGCGTGTCTTGCGTTCCAAAGTTCCAATTTTTCTTCATCTGCCTCATTTTTAACTACTTTTAAGTTTTATCTATTATGATTCCCTGCATAGGTACTTCGCAATAATCGTGTTTATTTTCATTGACTTTATTTCTTCCATCAATTCCTTGATCTTATTTCCATCTTTCTTTCTCTCCTTGCTGCATCCCTTGCTTTGTTTCTTATATTTGACTAACCGCTCTTGCTCTTAAAATTTTAACTCGCAACTTCTTTCCATCTTTAATTCTTCATTAAGCTTCTTTTTGTCTCATTATTGTCTTTCGTCCCTTACGCCTTTCCAACTCATGTAGGAAGGCGCTATTATGACCACTTTTTCCGTCCCTCCGTCCGTCGGTCCGAGGCCTGAACTACTCTTACAGTTTTCAAGATACACATTTAGTTCGTTCTTTTTGCATTCCTTAGCTTATAGATAGCTCTGCAGACTGCGGAATGTTATGCACATGCCTTATGTTCCTTTGTACTATGCGATCAAAAATGAGTTGCTGTCGAGTCACCTTTGGAAGGAATTTTTATTTACATTGGAAAATCGTACTTAACTTGAACTTCCAAAGGCGACTCGCAGCAACTCATTTTTGATCGCCCGTTACACATATAGACCGTTATACGACCTTTTGGGAAGGAGGATTTTCTTTTAAACCTCAATCAAATTTAAAATTACGACCATTTTTTTCCTTAAAGATTCAAACCTTTAATTTTACATAAATGAAAAAAATGGTACCTTTTAACGGACCTCTTGCATGTGACAATGTTGATACAGAATTGGGTTGGATACAATCCTCCTTCAGTAATCATGAATATTAGAATAGATCTTGTATTTTAAAAGTTACGAGCAAACCACAATTTTTATTATTAAAACTGTTTGGTGTTAACGGTTTAAGTAAAAATTTGGAGTCACATGGATAGATTATGACAAGTAAGACAAAACTTCACTACGTAAAAATTTTGCACTTTAATGTTGGTTACTTAATTTTTTCTAATGTGTCAATTAAGATGATTTTACGAACAACCAGAATTTAATCTCTTCTCCGGTTCACGACAGTAAACGTTTACACAGCAGTTTTGGCAATGGTTCTTTGTATGTAATAGCAAAATACAGGGTGTGAAACATGCGGCAAAAATTAAAGAGGTAATTCCTTGATCTGTTCTGTGCATATTTCTTCTGTTAATGAGTTTTGAAAAAATAATAATAAACGTTAACAAAAGACGATATAGTAATTTATCAATCTTGGTTGTCCAATTTCGATGGGATTAAATAGGTAACTTTTTTATTAGCGCAGATAAACGAATATGACTTCGTGGCCTCTTTTTAGCGCATTTTTGCAAAAATTTTTTTTTGTAAAAAGTAGCTTTTAATCTCACTTTGGCTGGCTGGCTGGCTGGTCGGCTGGCTGGCTGGCAGTAAATGCGCGCCCGTAGAAAAACGCTTGTAAAAAGACAAGGAGTGTACATGTAACTATCGGGGCCGTGTAATTAAGAACGTTAGGGATGGGGCTACAAGATTTGGAGTCGACGACATCTGGACGCCCTCCCCGAGCGTATTATACTAACCTGGAGATTTTTCAGTTTTTATCTATCTTCTTCTACAGTTTTTCTCCGATTGTTTTCAAATTGGTGTCGTCGGGAAGATCTTGTCACCGCGCACAACTCCTGCGTGGCGGAATTTTGTTTTTTTTCCTAGGGGCGAAATAAACCACCTTTTGCGCGGCGCGCTTCGAGGGGTAGTCGACTTTGGGCGCCCAAAAGTTTCTTACATCGCGAATCGCGGTCTCTCTTTCTCGTGTCACTAATAGAAGGTCGAGCTATGTGAAGTACCCAAAAGTTGAATACGATTTTATGCCGGGATTTTAGCGAAATCTACCAAAATGTGAATTACTTACGAATGAACGGGACGTCGGAACTGTGTATCGACAAAGGGAATGTGGTAACCCCCGACGAGATCTTACTGATGGTGGAGTCGAAACTTCAAATCCGAATTGTTGCGGGTGATCAGAAGTGGGTGTCGACAAAGGGAATATGGTAACCCCCAAAGGATTTTACTAATGGTGGAGTCAAAACTTCAAACGCGAATTGCAAGTGCACGGTAAGTGAGAAAATGGTACCGACAAAGTGAACGTGGTAGCTTTCGGCAAGATCTTATTAATGGTGGCGTCAATATTGGCTAATAAAACACTGATCTGCCACACAAAAATGCGCTGAAGTCCCTTCGATCTCACACGAGGACTTTGATCATTTTTTCATACTTATTCCATTTCCGTTGCCAGAAATAAGTCCCGTCTTTGGTTTTTCCCCTACAGAGAAAAATTGAAAAAAGGCCGATTCCTTCAATTTGCTCTAACTGCTTTATTTTTGAAGTTTTGAAATTGGTAGCAATATTCAGGCAATTTTTAACGTAGAAATCAATGCCGTCAGTCGTTTGTTTCTAGCCCTTTTAGTAATTACGCTGTAACTCAAAGTTAATTTATTTTAAATGGAAATTATAGTTGGCCATGGTTCTAAAAAATGCTTGTTTTACTTAGAATGTAGATATATCATACTTGTTTTCAATAATAAGTGCTTTACAATAAATTTTGTTTATTAATACATCTTGCCTGAAGATAAATAACACAAAATGTAGTCGCCTATGAAACAGTTGAAGAATAAGTTTCACCAACATTTAAAAAAAAAACAGTAAACAAAACTGTGAACTAACTGATATTGAACAAAATCTACAAATATTTTTCAAAGTGCTCTCAATTGTGGAAAATGCACATGTTGGATCTCTTTCTCAAAGATCTTGTTGGATTCAGGATTTGTAGTGGTTGGACTGCTTCATACTTTTTCTAGACTTTCCCGTAAATCTTCCTCAGTTATATAGAAGGATATTTATAAATTTTATCAAAAATCCAATGCGTTTTAGTCGGGTGAACGTGTTGCCCATTTTATTGGTCTCTGCGTCCCCATCCAATTAGTTGATTTTGAATAATTTTGAACAATTAACGCATTATGAGCTGGAGCACCGTCTTGCTGAAAAATAACCGTTCGTCTCTCGTCTAAAATAATATTATGGGGTAAATCTTTCAGGTTGTGCTCTAATGTTTGCATATATCTGTCAGGTCTAAGCGTGCCTCTACAAATATAGTATTTTAAAACTATGTCGTTTCAAGCAACACCACACATTAAACGCAAATTTAGTTAGATGCGGGTTTTCATTTGCCCAGTAGCGGTTATTTTATCTATTAAAAATTCCAGTACTTGATATGTGTGCTTCGTCACTCCAAATATTGTTATCGCTAAAATTTTGGACCTTATTTTCCTTCCTAAGAAACCCATGACGAATCTCGTGCCATTTAGGTAAATCTTCAGATTTTAAATATTGGTTCTTATGATATTTATATGATTTGTATTTCTGCGTTTTAAAATTTGTAATGTTTTAGTCCTCGAAACCTAAAATGTATATGTTTAACACATAATATTATTTAATAACAATAATAAATAACAAGAATTTACTGTCTAAACATGATTTTACATTTAGTTGTATCTTTTTGGGAAATTGTAACTGATGTTGAAGACCTGCTGCTCTCGAATTTTCGCTGCAATGAATAAACACTTTTAACATGTCATATTTTTCATAGTTAGCGTGTTTGGTCATTGTAAAATGTCACTAACATGAAGAATCCAGACAAATCTACTTCGACAAACAACTTTTCCAAAAAAAACAAACTACAGCTCTCAAGTGTTTTTCATAGGCGACTATATATTTTTACTTTCAGACAATATGTACCTATGTACTAATAAACAAAACTTATTGTAGAGAACTTACTGAAAGTAAGTAGGACATATCATATACTTTCGGAAAGGTCGTAAAACTAGCATTTTTTGAAACCATGGTCAACTATAATTTCCATTTATAGAAAATTAACGTTGAGTTACAGCGTAGTTACTCGACTAGAAACAAACGACTGACGGCATTTTTTTTACGTTAAAAAGTAGCTGAATAATGCTAAAGCGATTTTGTTCTAGCTTCAAAAATAAAGAAGTTAAAGCAAATTGAATGAATCGGCCATTTTTCAGTTTTGCTCTGAAGGGGAAAAACAAAAGACGCCAGCTTATTTCTGGTAACGGTAATGGAATAAGCATGAAAGAAGAGATCACGAGTATAGGTACTCCATTTTCGTTTATCTGCGCTAATAAGAAAGTTTAATCCCATCGAAACTGGACCACACTGTACATAAAAACCGAAAAAAATAAGTTTTCATGCACCAAAGCAGTACTGTAAATACAATAACATTTTATAACGAGTTCTATTTAATTATTAGTATGTGTTTATGATGATGATAAGATTGATTACTCATAAGAGGCGGTGATAAATTGGTGCACTTGGTAAAGTGAAAATACCTACAATTTGTGATAAGTACACATATCTAGTTTAATACAAATGTACCGAAGGAGGAATTGCATATTCTTGAAAACAATCGGGCGACAATTTTTTTCAAACTCGAGCGGTTTTCTATGAACACTACAATCTTTTGTAAGGGGCAAATGTAATGTTTTATTTAGTGTTCGTTTTAATGTTTGTTGTTTGTTGCAGATTGTTACTTCAACGACCACAAATATCCTAATTTTGCAGTTTCAACGGGGAGCCTTTAATGTGGTGAGTTTCTTTATATATTATTTTTAAAGCAAATAGACAGAACGTGTATGAAACCAAGAATTAAAAAATGTGAAATGCAGCTTTTTCCTAATAGCGTGTACTAAAACAAAACTAAAAAAATTAAGGTTTTATAGCTCTAATACTAGAGGGCAGATTTTTAATATTGGAAGAATTAGTAATGCCATTTCAAATGAATAATATATCCTGTAGCAACCACAAAAAAACTTTCTTGCACTACCCACCAATAACATGAATAAAATAGTGGTGGCATTGTGAAATCTATAATGTTATGTTTGTAACGGTGTGTAAAAATATTCCATATTATATTAGACATATAATTATTATTCTTGTACTCGTACACATATAATTTGACATGTGTGCGGTATGTACCTTCACCAGGCTGATCGACGCTTCGCCCCTTGTATCAATTATGCCATGTATATGTACTATAAAATTAAAATGCCGCAGATGTGTGGTTTACGTTGTTAATTTTGTGTTTTGAAAAGCTTGGACAAAGCCTATTTGCCATCTCCATGTTATTTTCATGTGTAAACAATACCATTCACAAAATTAAACGTAAATAACAGAGCCTGTGTCAATGAATGTTCAATCCTGAAAATAAATCAAATTACGATTCAATCGAGTTGTTACACCCACCTGTATAGATACAATAGCGTCTTGGTGGAAAAATTAAGAGGTCCCATTTTCGCATATAGTAAAAAAAAACAACCTTGACGACAATTAATCAATTTTATTGCTTAACAATTAAACGTAATTAATTGCCGTACCCTTTTAGGATTTCCGTCAATTGGTATACTTATACGTCCTTCTACGTTTCAGTCGATTTTTCAACCGGCGAGTGACCTTATTTGTTAATTTTACCAAATAACCTTTTAAACTTGTTGGCATTTCCGCCGTAAACAAATTTTTTTAATTTGTAATAAGCGCATTCGTCGCACGTCCCGAAATGCCCCCAATATAAATTGTGGTCGTGTATGGAAGTAATTGAAATATATTGGCTAATAAAGTAGCAAAATGATCAGATTTATAGGCCGACCTAAATTACAACGAAAGTAAATTAGCCGCGGCGAGAAATCACCTACACGCCATTCTTCTTTCGGATCGAAATTTTACACTAAATTGATTGTCGCCGTGGACGCGCGACAATTTTTCAATCGGATTAGCATTATAGGTATCTATCGATATTGACGTGTTCAAATTCAACTTGACCCAGAATTAAATGAGTCGACATGAAAGAATTGATCACTCTCCATTAAACAGGAATCATCCCTTTCTTCGAATGTAAATGAGGTTCAAAAATTCTTCCTAAACTATTTACAAAATTTTCACATAATTATTTATTATTGTAGGCGTTAATGTTACGAAAAAAGGAACAATGCAAAACGTCTTCGTTGATTGCACGTTTAATAGAGCAAAATAATACAGATGATAATAGTTTTATTGCCCCACCGAGATTAATCCTGTTACACAAACTTCACAAGTAAGATAAGGCTAATTATGAACGTTAACAAAAAGGTATGTAAAAAAATGAGGTGAAATAGAAGAAGGTCCATAATGGATCGTTTGGAAGCTACGTTTCAAAAATCCCAAAATTTCAATTTCTTTTTTCCCCTGCTGCTGCCATAAAATGCTTGAATCGTTTAATGATGATACAAGCATGAAATTTGGTATGAATGCTCCTATAAGGGTACTGTTTTATATGAAAACCGTGGCCACTTAAGAAATTCAAGATGGTCGCCGTTGGCGGCACAGATCATGCAAATATTAATCGCTTATTATTAGTGATAAGTAAAAACGGCTGCCATTTTGAATTTTTTTAATGTCAAGCATTTTCATATAAAACGATATTCTTGTGGAAGGGCTCATCCAAATTGCATGGTAGTATATCATCATTTGAAAGACACTTACCTACCGCTAATAAGATTCAATATGTGCCAGTGTGCCACCATCTTGGAAAACGGCGTCCATATTGAATTTATTATTATTCAATTCAGTGACCAGCGTTTTTATATAAAACATTATCATTATATAGAAGCATTCAAAACAAATTTCATGCTTGTATCATCATCTGAAAGATACTTGCCATTATCTGCCCCACTAACATAGGATTTTTGGTTATGCGCTTCCTATGTATGCCGCACCCCTGAAATTGTTCTACGTATCCCTAAATTTCATGGAATTCTGAGAATATATTTTATTTGTTCTTGCTTCTCTCACGCACAAAATGCGCGTGATTCAATTCCCTACCAGATTTTGTCTCACGTCCCAACACATACAAGAACCGATTACACAACGTATAGTGCGATTCACACTGGAGAGTTCAGTATTGGTCTTGTGCAATGTAACGTTGCCAACTGTGTTGTTGCCTCATAAGAAACCCAGATCGGAGAAACCTATTAGCATAACAATGGCAGATACCATTGAGTACATATAATAAATGAATACAGTACATTTATTTCAAGGAAACAAGCAATTTTGGTAAACGTTATAGCTACTTCAACTCACAACTGCAACAATAGACAGGTAAAGGTATTGTGGCAATGATCTGTACTGTAATTTACGTACATAAAGAATAACATTGCCCTTTTACATACTGAACGTTAAGTGTGAATCTGTGAATCGCAGTATAGGAGTTCATTCATCCATATCGAGCCGACTTGATTATTATGATTATTTAAAAAACGCAGAAGAAGCTATGAGGCAATTAGTGCCTCCCACATTCATTCTAAATTGAAATGGCCGAAACATTGCACTTAAAAGGGAATACCTAGACACCAAGAGACTAAGAGAGTCACAATGCCCTGACAGTTTACACTCGAACGAATTGCGCTCTTATATATCATGTAGTTTTATGTCCACATCAGAACATGAAATCCCTTTTATTAGATGTTGAACGCACTCTTTAGTTTTTAAGTTCTGAGAAATGCTGGCGATTTTTTACAACATAAAAAGAATTTATGTGGATTTATAGATTATATGTTAAAATTTTTTCACTATAGTTTGGATTGCCAGGTTTCACCACAATAGTTCAACCTTAGTTCAGTTGATTGGCATAACCAAAAAGCTTGGTTGATGATTTTTTACTTTTTAAACAATCGCCTGAAGTTTGGTTCAACTATTGTGGTGCAATCGGCCCTTTTTATGATTTTAATTTATATTACCTACAGTTTAATTTCTTTTTAATCTCGAATTTTGTAACCATGTACAGTATTGTACATGTTTCTCACTTTATGAAAACAAAGGTGTGTCCTTGCACTGCCAATTGCACCAATTCCGTTAATGTATAATGTATCCGTTACATTTTTTAGTTAGATTTTGCTTAGTTTTCATTGGTAATAATAGTGTTATTCACCTTATTCATTATTAGAAAAAATAAAATTGTCTAGAAATACTTCACGCTGTCCTGATATTTTCTTCAATTGTTAAGATTAAATTACACGTGATGTCAATTTATTCTTTACTAAAATTGAAACAATAATTGAAGGTCATTAAGTTTTATTGGGCATTGTTTACATTTGTCTATTTATTTGTCAATTTTCTAGAACATAGCAACCCAAATGTGTAAAGTTGCTTCCAAGTTTGCGTAACACAATCATTTGGTACTTGGTAATCAATTGGTGACACAGAAGCAAAAGTAACCAAAAAAATGATTGATTGATCAAAATGAATGAAGGACTAGGAATAATTCTCGCATTAATTACTTTAACTGTAACATACGGGGTTCTGTGTGTTAAAACTAAGGGTATATCGTGTACTTACATTTCACTCAAAGCTTCGCATCAATATTTTCATCGACCAAAATAACAAATGGTCATTCACGAGCGGTTTCAGAAAAATCGAAAATAAGAGTAGATTACTATTTCCTTCATAAGCGCGTGTCAAAATAATCATCTCTTGTTAAATTTTAGTTTCTCCTTTAATACATTTGCTTTTATTTACCCCTACCTGTGATTAACACTACCTACCCTGTAATTAATCCTAATCAAATTTAGATAGCAAAAACACACCCTACACACTTTTTCTCGCCACGAAAGCTAAATTTCTACACCTAAGCATCCTACAAATTCCTATGAACACTAACTTCAACAATACAAATTTATTTTCCCTGGAAAATAACATGTCTGGGTACCAAAATAGTTTAACCGTATAATAAAAACGTCCCTAATCTGAATTTAAATTGGCATCGAAGTTTCGCGTTTCCCTATTTGCCTCACGTTTCGGGTGCCAAATAAAAAATGCTGTGGTCCCACGTTGGGCGCCACATAAACAATGCTCTGAGCAATAGCGTGCGATCAACTACACCACCGACAAAACAACCGTTCAGCTAGCTCAAATAAATCATAAATTTAAACTTAGAATCTTTTCTCGTACATCTTCGGCATTTTTTACAAAACAAAATCCTAATAGTAACTCAAAATTAATAATTTAGGAGACTCAGTAGCCTCGATCAAATTCCGAAATTCCAAACAAACCTATTACACAAATTTTGTTTAACACCTGAGATAAATGTTGGAACAAATAGATAAAAAATACTGAACATGAGAACTGTAGCTGGATAGTACAATGGATTCAAATAAACACACAATTAATTGATTAACAAAGAGAAAAGAATTTATTTCGAAATTCGTACGCAGACACTACTAAAGAAAAACCTGAAACAAAGATAGGCATAAACAATGATAACGCAAACTGGTTTAATTAACACAATTTCTAATGTTCAATGCGATGACAGTTCAGACGGGTGACACTTTGACTTTTATTACACGAAAGAACCTTCTCAAAGGACTCGTTATGCACTACAACCTGCTTTTTCGACAACAAACCACATTACTTTCTCACAAGACTTTAACTTCAACTGCATCTGCACTGATTGGTCGACGAAATTGCGTTTTTAAACACACAGAAATAACAATTACCTTTCTTCCTTATTTATTTATTTTCCCTTTCTTATTCTGGGCCCGCAACAAGCTTTCGCCCAATTACAGTGTGCTTTTTAGAGTTCCCCTGCAGAAGGTCTTAAGTTCTATACTACTCCGGTATTTTCCTTACGAATTAGGAAAACTGCAAGAAAACCTAATTCGGAGTAGCCGGCAGAACGCTCGAAACTGGTCTAAGGTAATTCCCACCTCTGCTACAGATGAAAAATTCAC